TTAACTCTGTTGGGCTCTGAGGCCATAGTTCATGTCCTGGCTTCCTCTTGACTCAATTATTGTAATTCAGTATTAAACTGTTATTTGTTTTCATTCTTTACACTGTCTGCTGCTTTACAAAGCTCAGCAGCTAGATTTATAATATGGAGAGCTCTATTCCATTACATTACAGCTTCCTTGTAGTATTTTTGTTGGCATGTTCAACAACACATTGGTTTCAATATTTATTTTTTTGCTCACTATAGATTAACCCTAATCTACATACTACTTTTAAGCATTTTCTAAAATTAGTGGTTTTCCTAAACTGAACTGCAGTCCAAGTATAAAGTTTTAAAATAATTTCAGTATTTACAACCAAAATGCTGTGTTCAAGTTTTGTTGAAGTTTGAGGTTCCTTCCAAGTCCGGAATGGGCTTGGATCTAAAGTTTGGAAAGTCCATCTTGTTTTCGTCTCCCACTAAACTGCTCTAGGGATAAGCAAACTCTTCTAGTAACTCCATCTTTTGGAGACTTAAAATCTTTATCTATGTTTGACTGGCTGGAACGAGGCATGTAAATAGTTTACCCTATAGCTGGCATAGTTAACGGCAATGGGGAAAGGACTACTCAATTTATTAGAATCACTGATGCTGTGGGATCACTACTAAAAGTGATTGCATTAAAGAAAATAAGAGTAATTCTTGTATATATGTCACAGTCCAGTCTCCGTTTAAGCATATTCACACTTGTCTCCTTGCAAGTTGTAATAGGACTTGCACTTAAGAAACATTTCATTGAAAAATTGCATGCTTGCTAATCTCCTTTCTGGCTGAGATAAGCATTTGTCCCAAGGAAATGCTCCTGTCCAGGCTTGTCCCAAGGTCCCTTTGTTTTACTGAGCTTTGTAATTCTTAGCACACCTGTGTGCCTGAAGAGCCATTCATCAATAAACACAGAACAAGTAGTTCATTAGAATAAGCTCTCTGTATGCAAATGTGTCCCAAATATTCCATCCTTTCACAGGCACAGAACCCCCAAAGAAGTCTACCCTCGCAGGAAGGAAATGACTGTGTTAACACGCTGGCTGCTGCTGCCGCTGCCCTTCCTCAGCCCTCCCCTTAGTGCCAAAATACACAGAGCTCTCTCTCCCCATTGGAAATTCATCAGGACTCCAGGTATGTATTTTTTGAAGTGACTGATGTGATATGATATGATATGATATGATATGATATGATATGATACGATATGATATGATACGATATGATGTGACATGACTGCTACAGGGTACAGCAGTGGCTAACACAAAAGATCAGTGCTTGTCAACATTTCCCTCAATTTTTAGAGGCTTTTGTTTTTATCTCGAGCTCGAGTGCATTGGGTTATAGGTCCATGCTCAGCCAGTATCATCATGTAGGCACCATATTATTTGCTGTCCATCTTGGTCTTGGTTCTTGTACTTAAATTGGAATAGTTTCCTGGGAACAAAATATCGACAGGACAGCATTTCAGCTGTGAGTTGGAAATTCAATTGTGGATGGACCTTTTGTGTTAATGGGAGATCTCCAGTCTTCCCTGAGCATTTGCTTTTAAGACTTCATTGCCTGTGAAGAACACGAATTCCCAGTTCTAGAAGTTTGAGATCTAATCAGAATTTTGTGGGCTTTTTTTTTTTTTTCCTGCTGCTGACAACTAACAATGAAATGTTCAGGCATCAGATAAATTTAATTTTTCTTCTGAGGAGTGTTCTGGATGGCAAAGGACCTGCTGAGCTGTGTCTGCAGATACAGGCAAACAGCTATATCACGGTTTAAGTTTGATTCAAGTTCACCCACAATCACAGGTCTAGAAATTAAGCCTTCTTTTTTTTTCCCCCCCCTTTTTTTTCCTTTTTCTTTTTTCTTTTTTTTTTTTTTTTTTCCCCCCTTCTGTGAGGAGAGTGCTTTCCTTTATGAGAGTGCTACGGGTAGGGTTTTCAAACTCCCTTTAGCCATTGTCCAAAATCTCACCATTTTCCTTCCATGTGTACGTAGTTGTGATAACTGGGACCTGCAGAGGTGTAGAAAGTAGTCAATATTCTCTGCACTTTCTCTGCAAGTCCCGTGGGGGAAAAAAAAAGGCTCATTAATTTAAACTGGTTCCACATTCTGTGCATGAGTTCAGTGGAATGAATTTCATCTCCAGTGTAAGTCCAGTAACATAAAATTGGAAATCTGTGGTATGAGGATTGGAAGCTATGGTTTTTTTCATATATATTTTTTTCTATTCCAGCCTTGGAAAAGTGTCAGTAAACTTGGGTTATACTCAAAAGTCTCTGGCTTAGTACAGACATTTGCCAACCAGCTGCAAATTGTTCAGGTTCTTAGGCACTTATTAGACAATATTACAGGAGTTGTTTGAGAAAAGGAGGCGGAGAATGAGAGTTCTGTGTGCATGTGTGGTGGGTGTAAGGGGTTCTCTGTAGCCTGCTTTGGGAAAGAACATTTTCACACAGTGTGGAGCGATGTTGCATTTTTGTTAATATGTTCATTTTTGCATTCTCCAGTCTTTTGACCAACACGTGCTCAAACTTTGGCTCTGCTTGATATTGTTGTTTGTTGCGTGTGATTACTTTATGGCTGGGTCCTGGTAGGCCTTTGGTGGTCTCAGGTGTTCTCAAGAACACCTGCGATCTCGTGCTCCATGACGCCCTTTGCCTCTTCCCATTGCACTATCCAGCACACAGGCTCTGTGCCTGGAGTGCAGCGTTAAAGCCGGTTGCAGCCTCTCCGTGGATGGCAGCACGAGCCTTCAGTGACTCATGTTTCGGGAGGCTTCAGGGTCAGCCTTGGGCTACAGCGGTGCCTGTTATCAGCAGGGCAGCCTCACGAGGCCGGGTGCTGGGAAGCCGCCGAGAAGGGCATGTTCCCGGCAGCTGGAGGGACGCGCTTGGCCTCTGCTCTGAGTGTCATATGCTGCTAACGTGCAGGCTACTTACTGTGAGTGCCACCAGCCCTACCGAGGCGTGTCCTGAGGTTACGCATGATGTGAGCACGTTGGTGCTGCCTGGTGACACCAACATGTGGCCGTTCTGGGCTTGTAATGTGATTTTCCTTACACTGCCTGACATCTCCAAAAGTGGTAGTCCTGCTGGGCAGACTTTCAGAGGTGGATAGAAATGTATGTTTGCACATCAAAATAGCCAATTTATTTCACAAACAGGCACCGAGGTGTCCAGTTATCCATTTTGCTTATGCAAATACAAGTTTTCACAGGCACAGTAGCTGTGCCCGCACTGTGATTGCTTCCATAAGGTAGCTCAGATTGCTGACCCCCCGGTCAGATGGGCACGGTAATGAGGCTGGTGGAGCTCTGCGAGCGTCGCTGCAGCAGGGGCCGTGCCCCCGCGCAGGGCTAGGCACGCGTCACCACCCGAGCGCCGCGGAACTCGTACGCGAGGTGCGCAGCTGCACCCATCCTTGCAGGACAGGCGAGGGCTTCACGTGAGATGAAGCACCCAGCAGGCCTGATGGGGGGTGTGACATGAACGAACCTTTCTGCAAACACCCCCTCCTTCAGGGGCTCGGGCCCTTGCGCTCCAGTAGGCCTGGGGCAGCTGTTGGCCTCCTGCCTCTTGTGTCCCAGCGCACTGGGGAGCCCCAGGGAGGCACGGGGGGGGCGCAGCCTGCTTCCCAACGCCCCTCCTGCAAGGGCCAGCCCCAGGAGGCGCAGCCAGTGCCTGCAGAGTGTCCCAAACCACCGCACTCTCCTTGCAAACCCAGTCCTTCGGCAACCCGCTGCAGCTGCCTCGCGAACCATCGCAACCCGTGCAGCCTCCCGCAGCCCTGCTGCGCGCCCGAGCCCTTGCAGCGCGCAGCGGCGCGCGGGGCACGAGCGGAGGCGGCGGCGCTGCTGCCAGCTCCGCGGGCCGGGCCG